TTTTCAAACAAAACAAACCCCGGATCGGCTGATAATAATAATAATAAAAAAATGAAGCCCAGTGAAAAATTAAAAAGAAAGAAAGAAAGAAAGAAAGAATAAACGAAAAGCACTACATTTTGTGGCGAAGTGGAGATAACAAAAGTCTTCTCAAGGCTACATGGGACAAAAAATAGGCCGTGTGGTGAGCGAGAAGAATTGCTGCTAATATATTTCCTTTTTACAAAAGCATATCTAAATAGACCATTGTTTGATGTTAATCTTTGTAAATTATGTATTACCAATTTTAACATTGGATGTAATTGCATAAAAAAACAAAAAAAAAAACGAGCCTGCATCTCAAAATATTGAGAGATTCTAGTATTAAATGGAAAAAAAAAAAACCATGTTTCTTATTTTAACGTTTCAAGGGTGTTTTTTTTTTCTCGGCATTGGCAAAACTCTTCCCCTCCCTTTTAATTTTTAGCTGCTCTTTGACCTCGCTTTGGGGAGAGAGGGGGTATTTCTTGGAGCGCTGCCGTTACCCATCATTACAGGCGGTCCTCGCCCTTACGGCCGCAATCGAGGTGGCTAAGCAAGAAACGTGTGCCACTTTAGTCCCGAGGTAGGAGTTCTTGCCCACCGTTGTTAAGTGAGGAATGTGGTCGTTAACCGGGAGGTCGCAAGAGGGGACCCCGGGACCGTCGTAAATCCGAATCCGTTGCCAAGTGTCTTTTGATCACCTGGCCAGGGGGGATGCGATAACAGTTGTAAGTGGGGAAAATTGTCTTTTTTTTAAAAAAAGACCATTTTCCCCACCGCTGATGTCACTTTGGTCGCTAAACAGAACGGCTGTAAATCGAGGACTGGCTGCAAATCAGAAATCAAATTCTCCCAGGGTTGATTTTGGAAGCCGAGACCAAAAGTGGCAAATATTGGGAGAAATTGGGACATTTCGGAAAAAACGAGAGGCATAGTTTGGGGAGAGAAATTGTGAAATTGGCAGATTTAGGTGTCCCGGACTAGTGGTTAGAGCTGTCAATCAGAGGGAAAACCCGGTTCCTTTCCCTGGGTGAATTGAAGCCGAAATCCCTCCTTTGTAACCGTTGCGTCTTTTTGCAATTTTGGCCTTTTGAATGTGGGGATTGTGTCCCTGCGCACCCACAATCTCTTGCACAGCCTTGAAGATTTGAAGCTGTAATTTAAATTTAATTAGGGTTATCCTAAATCTTAAGGGATGACGGATGATTGAGCCTGGGGGTTGGGGAAGGGTGGGGGGATTCTGGGAGTTGGAGTCCACACATCTTAATGGTTGCTACATGCGGGGTTCACTTCCTGCCCACAATTTGGTCATATGTCAGGATAGTTGTAAAGTATGCCAGCTGGGGAATTCCGAGACTTGACATCCACCCATATTAAAGCACTGGCGTAACGGGAATTCTGGGTACTGAAGTCCATTTTAAAGCAGGCTGGCTGGGGGAGTCTGGGAGTTGAAGTCCACCCATCTTAAAGCATGGTGGGTGGGGGATTCTGGGAACTGAAGTCCACCCATCTTAAAGCATGGAGACTGGGGGATTCTGGGTAGTGAAGTCCATCCTTCTTAAAGCATGCTGGCTGGGGGATTCTGGGAGTTGAAGTCCATCTTAAAGCAGGCTGGCTGGGGGAGTCTGGGAGTTGGAGTCCACCCATTTTAAAGATTCCAATTTGGGGATTCTGGGAACTGAACCCCACCCATCTTAAAGCACACTGGCTGGGGGATTCTGGGAGTTGAAGTCCACCCATCTTAAAGCATGCAGACTGGGGGATTCTGGGTAGTGAAGTCCATCCTTAAAGCAGGCTGGCTGGGGGAGTCTGGGAGTTGAAGTCCACCCATCTTAAAGATTCCAATTTGGGGATTCTGGGAACTGAACCCCACCCATCTTCAAGCAAGCCAGCTGGGGAATTCTGGGAGTCAAAATCCTTCCAAGTAACCAAAATTTGAGACTTTTAAAAAACTTCTGCATTATTTTTTAAAGGTGTTGTTTTCACCTTGCGCCACCAGAGGGAGCCAAGGATACATCTCTGAGATCACAATCTGAATTAAGACTTAATTTCTCAAAAACATCCCAACAAGGAAAAGGAGAAATTAATTCAAAATTCTCCCAATGGGCCACCGCTGCTTCCTAAGCAACAGAGTGTGCAAAGCCAGCTTGTTCCTTCCCCCCCCCACCCCCATCCATCATCTTTAGGCAGGCCTTCGAATCAGGAAGCAATCCAGATGCACCGTGGGAGGGGTGTAAATTGGCTCACCAATAGATTGTCTGAACAATATCTTTTATTTCCCTCTCCAGTGTACAAGTGGCCTTCCAGAAAGCAATAAGAGGGCTGGTTCTAGAAGGAATGAATCCACAGAGCGTGCGGTGGCAAATAATAATAATAATAATAATAATAATAATAATAATAATAATAATAATAATAATAATAATAAAATATTAGGCTCCTTAGAGACTTCCCTTCCGGTTAAACCCTTGCAAGATAGACAAGTTCCTCGATTTTAACGACCACAATTCACAATCCAAAAAATTTCCATGGCCAAAGGAAGACATCCGTTTCCTTGAGTTTCACCCCATTCCATTTTACAACCTCTCTTCCCACTGCCCTTCGGACCGTCACTCACACGGTCGTTAAGCAATTCCACCTCCCTCCAATGTCGGGAGGTCGCAAAAGGGGGACACTGCAGCCGTCATTAACACGACTCCGTTACCAAGCATCCGAATTTTGATCGGTGTGTGTGTGCTGCAACGGTCGTAGGTATGGAAAAAAGATTTGTTAAGTCACGATTTTTCAGCGCCGTTGCAACTGCCAGCGGTCA